CATCAATTATTTAGAAAGTAGACAAACAAAAGATTTTGTTTTCCTAGGAGAGGGTTATTTTACCACTAACATGATTTAGAATTGTCAGTGGAAAGTGTTATAAATACTAAACCCACTTTTGGTCAGTTTTATCTTTATTTTTAAATTCTCTACAGGCAGTACACCCCCTTTTTGCCTATACCCAAGATGAACCACTGCTATCACCCTGCCTTTGGTATACTGCTAGTTGGGAAACAGACGATAAATTAAATGAGTAAATTATAACTGTTTGAAAGTGGTAAGTGTCATGGATGAAACGGAACCAGGTAAGGGGCACAGGTTGCAGTGTGAAATAGCTTGGCTGGGGAAGACCTCACTGAACAGGTGACATTCGAGGGAGATAAAGGAGTGTACCTTACTGACACCACGCTAGGCAAGAGCTTTCCTGGCAGAGGGGACTGTTCCCAGCAGAGCTCTGACTGCTAAACTAAGGAGTTAGGCCTTTAGGCTCAGAGCAATGGGGAGGTATGGGTAGTTTTTTGTTTTTTGTTTTTTTTTTTAATGAAACTGCTTTGTTCAGATCTAACTCACATACCATACAATTCACCCTTTTAAAGTGTACAATTCAATGGTGTTTGACATATTCCAAGAGTTGTGCAACCATTACCACAATCAATTTTAGAAAAAAAAATTTTGTTTAAGACAAGGTCTCACTCTGTTACCCAGAGTGCAGTGGCGTCATCACAGCTCACTGCAACCTCAAACTCCTGGGCTCAAGTGATCCTTCTGCCTCAGCCTCTGAAGTAACTAGGACCTCAGGCGCGTGCCAATAAGACTGGCTAGTTATTTCTATTTTTAGTAGAGACTGAGTCTCGCTCTTGCTCAGGCTAGTCTCGAACTCCTGGCCTCAAGTGATCCTCCCGCCTCGGCCTCCCAAAGTGCTAGGATTACCGGGGTTAGCCGCCACGCCCGGCCTATTTGTTGAGTAGAATGAGTGAATAACTGAACAATCGGCTGGATGGATGGATGAGAGTGAATGGACGGACGAAGGAACGAATGATGGCTCAAAGCACTATGGTTTGATCTTCCTCCCTGGCAGCGAAGGCGGCGTGGGGGTTCCTGCACCATCCCCCGCAGCCGCCAGAGGGCGCAGACAGGCCCGGTCCCCGAGCGGCTGTCCCGGGACGCCGCCCCTCCCGGGATCCAGGGGACCCTCGGATCCTGCCCATACCTGAACCGGCCGTGACTGTCGGCTTCGAGCCAGCGCCGCGGTCTGCCCTCGCACTGCAGACGGGGAAACTGAGGCCGGGGCGGGAGGGGTGGGGCGGGTCCCCCGGCGAGCCCGAGCGCCCGCCCCCGGCCAGCCCCGCCCCGGCCCGTAAGAGGCTCCCTGGGCGCCAGGCGAAGGCGCACAGCGCGGTGCCGGCCGGCCAGCACCGGGATGGCAGCTCAGCGGCTGGGCAAGCGGGTGCTGAGCAAGCTGCAGTCTCCGTCTCGGGCCCGCGGGCCGGGGGGCAGTCCAGGGGGGCTGCAGAAACGGCACGCGCGTGTCACCGTCAAGTATGACCGGCGGGAGCTGCAGCGGCGGCTGGACGTGGAAAAGTGGATCGACGGGCGCTTGGAAGAGTTGTACCGCGGCAGGGTGAGGCGCGGGAGGGGTGTGGGGGCTTGGGG